AAACAAAACCCTCGCCGTTGTCTTGACGTTTGCTGCTCATACACTGAAGTTTTCTTCTTTAGCTAGAAAGACACAGCTGCTTACATCTACTACTGATGCTGCTGCTGCTGCTGCTCCTGCTGCTGCTGCTGCTGCAGCAGCAAAGACAACGCAGCAGCAGACTAGAAAGCTTTCGTTGTGCTGTCGAAGCAGCAGGGTTTGGGGCCATGATTAAAACTGCGCATGCAGCATTCGTCTCCAGCCAAAGAGAATTTCTAGGTGACACACAGCAGCAGCAGCAGCAGCAGCAGCAGCAACAGCAGCAGCAGCAGCAGCAGCACCAACAGCAGCAGCAGCAGCAGCANAGCAGCAGCAGCAGCAGCAGCAACAGCAGCAGCAGCAGCAGCAGCACCAACAGCAGCAGCAGCAGCAGCAGCAGCAGCAGTAGGAGGAGTAGGAGTGGGAGTAGGAGTAGGAATAGGAGCAGCAACAAGAGGAGTCGCACCCGTTGCAGCAGCAGCAGCAGCAGCAACAGCAGCAGCAGCAGCAGTAACAGGAACAGAACTCGCACTAACAGCAGCAGCAGCAGCAGCAGCAGCAGCAGCAGCAGCATGTATGTGTTTGTGTTTGCATGCAGCTCGGCTCCTTCGTCTGGCGCAGGGCCCCAAGGGATCTGCTGCTGTTCATTTGCTGCAGCGGCTGGAGTTTAGTGCTGCTGCTGCTGCTGAGAGACAGACATCCTGGGGTGTATGTACACCTCAGGCAACAACCCCAAGATATAATTTAGATAATACCTTTGCTGCTGCTGCTGCTGCTCCTGGTGCTGCTGCTGCTGCTGCTGCTCCTGCTGCTGCTGCTGCTGCTGCTGCTGATGGCGCACAGAGGCTCAGAGCCGCTACGCCCCTAGGCAGCCGCAGCCCCCGCATCATGCACACTGCTGCTGCAGCACAAACAGCAACACAAGCAGCAGCAGCAGCAGCAGCAACAGCAGCAGCAGCAGCAGCAACAGCACCAAGCACGATGCCGACTCCACGTACGGAAAGATTTGTGGCCAGCCCAGTGCTCCTCTCCTCCCTGCAGCAGCAGCAGCAGCAGCTGCAGCAGCAGCTGCAGCAGCAGCAGCTGCAGCAGCAGCAGCTGCCGCAGCAGCAGCAAGAGCTGCCGACGCAGCAGCAGATACACCATCAGCAGTTGCAGCAGCAGTCACGGCAGCAGCAGCAGCAGCAGCAGACGCCACAGGTTAGTGCATCGTCAGCGATGCAGCAGCTTCTCCAGCTA